TTCGAATTGTAAGCCGCCCTGAGTCCCCCCAGGGAAAAGGGCGGCATATAAATAAACTGCTCTAAACTCTCTAAACTCTTTGGGGTGCCGCTGTTTAATGCTGCCGGTCTCCTTCTCTTCCAGGGCTCTTCTGCTTCCTCGTTGGCCTGGTGGTGATCGCCCTGCACTTTATCCAGCCCAACCTTCTGAAAGCGTTCTTTGACTTGGCTGAGGATGAAGAGGACGATGAAGGCCTACTGAGCGAGGTGTACATCAACAGCTACTTCCACCAGACCCAGACCCTTTCCTCTCAACCCGATTTCAAACTGAACATCAAGAACAGCTAAAGCCAACGTTGACCTGGGACTCTCTTGAAAAAGGGGGTCATTCCAAAGGGACATGGACTCCGCGATGTCCTGTGGCCAGGCCACCGAGAAGTCATGCTGCACTCTTGCGAACAGACGCCAACGATAGCCTCTTGGCGCCATCGTAAGCTTTGATAGGTCAATCTCATGAAACGCATCAGTTGGGTCTGAAGAACAATCACGAAGCCCTCGAAGGATCTGGTTCCCGATGCCAACCACCCCAGGAAAGGAGTGGTGCCAGTAAGACAGATGGTCCTCACGTTGGCAGGAGGGGAGCACGCTCAGCAGATCCCATCGGGATGGAGGTGGTACCCCATTTGGTAGGGTTCCCCGTGGCTGCCCCTCAGGGCCTCTCCTATCATTAGGCAGAGGGAGGCAAATGCTTTGAGCGGCAGACAACGAAAGAGGAAAGAAAATATGGATGTCATGTATGGTAGGCAACCAGCCTTTGGCTTGGGGCACTCAGAAGCCCTGGAAGATGCTCTCCTGTCCCAACAAACTGATCCAACTGAACCAAGGAGTTCCTGAAACCAGAGGACACCTCCTTGCAATCAAGCAGAAAACTAGGTTGGCTGGTTCTCTTGGATGGAGACCCTTCTGGGCCCAACTGAATATCTATTAAGATCGAGGCAGGAGCTAAAAGAGCGAGGGATCGGATTGGAACGTTGGCCCTATCTTCAAATCCAATCATGTTACTGGAAAGCTAGGAAAGATTTGGGGCATTCACAGGGAGTTGATGGCCATAGATAAGATCCTTTTGGGGGGGACCAATGATAAATTGATCAAATCGACTTACACATTTTTATGGGAATATAAGGTGGAAGAAGAGCAGGTTAAGGAGACAAGGGTAGGGTGGGGAATAAACTTTTGGCTACAACGTAGATCTGGAAAAAAAGGGCAAGAACTATGGGAAAGGAATAGGAAAAATTACATTGGCAATCCTGTATAACGAAAACGTACATTAAAAAAATGTATAGGCGGCATCTCCCACCCGCGAGAATAGCCAAAATATTTAGAAATGTAGCGCCGAATTGTTGAAATGTGATTATGAATCAGGTACGTACCACCATATGTGCTGGTTCCCTTGGATAGAGATCCTTCCTTATGCCGTGGGCTCAACGGAATATTTATTTTATTTGACGTAGGCACTGCCTGACTCCAGCAGACTCCGAGAGGCTTCGGAGCACGCACAACCAACACATCAATAAGCAATTAAAAAAAGTTTTGTTGTTCTTACAAGCACACAACAAGCTCCCCCCCAAACACAGGACACAGGGAGGCCAGAGTCACACGGAAAGTGAGCAGAAATGTTTAATGGAAGGTAGCTATTTCATCTCTACAAAGTTATCACCAGCCAAAGGTTTTGGTCAATCGGCTTCATGTTGGTTGAAGGCACCATAGATGTAGAGAAGAAAGAGATTGTGGCTTGATCTCATCATGCCTAACAAAAGGAAACAAAAACCCAGTCATGCTTGTACATCTGCAGATCACCCTAGTCTAGATTTTAGGCTTGTCTCTTTAGTATCTGGCTTAGCAGATGGCATGGAGACAGCATACATCTTGGAGGGAAGTCCTCTCCCTCTTGCTTAGGGGGCTAAGCACTCTAGCCACACATAGATCTGAAGTTCGGGGCTGGGTTAAATATTCATCGAGAAGCATTAGCCACCTGTATCTTTGGAAGAGTGGTGAGATTCAATTTTTTTTACTACTGGTTCTGAGGGTGTGGCTTGTTGGGCGTGGATTAGTGGGCGTGGCAGGGTAAGGATATTGCAAAATCTCCCTTCCCTTCCCACTCCAGGGAAAAGTTACTGCAAAATATCGATTCCCTCTCCACTCCAGGGGAAGGATACTGCAAAATCTCCATTCCCTCTTCACTCCAGGGGAAGAATATTGCAAAATCTCCAATCCCTCCCGATCAGCTGGGACTTGGGAGGCAGAGAATAGATGGGGCGGGGCCAGCCAGAAGTGGCATTTACCGAAGTTCTCCGAACTACTCAAAATGTCCACTACTGGTTCTCCAGAACTGGTCAGAACCTGCTGAATGCCACCTCTGTTTTGAAGGCATATCATGCTTGACCAGGGTCCCTGCTCCATTCTGTTAAAAGCCCTTATAGGCGCCTCCAACAGAATGGCCTTGCTCCAAGTCAAAAGTGGACTTCTCAAGCTACTTATGAGTAACCACATACCACCCTGGCTGTTGTAGCTAATCTTGTGTACTTCGTTGCTCAGCAAAGCTCTCCTGGGGAGCACTTAGGAAGCAGTCATGGTGCCTTAGCCAATTTCTTCAGTAACCTGGTTGTAGCACTTGTTATATTTTGCCAACAGCATTGTACTGTAGATGTATTATTTATTAATAAAATTCTGGAAATGATTAATGTCTTTGAAAGCTTCTGGATTTAAGGAACGAAGGCTGCTATCTTTACCAACTTATCTTTGACTTATCTCTTGGTTAGAGAGCTTGAATCATGTCTCCAAAACCACTCTATAAAGTCTTAGTAACACCACACCTAGATTTTTGAGANTTCTTTCTTTCTTTCTTTCTTTCTTTCTTTCTTTCTTTTTCCTTCCCTCTCTCGCTTTTCTTTCTTTCCTTTCTTTCCTTCTTTCTTTTCCCTTCCTTCCCTTCCTCCCTCCTCTCTCCTTTCTTTTTTCCTTCCTTCTTTCTTTCCTTCTTTCTTTTTCCTCTCTCCCTCCCTCCTTCCTTCCCTCCCTCCCTTCTCTCTCCTTTCTTTCTTTCTTTCTTTCTTTCTTTCCTTCTTCTTCCTTCTCTCCCTCCTCTCTCCCTTTTCTTTCTTTCCTTCTTTTTCTTTCCTTCCTTCCTTCCCTCCCTCCCTCTCTCCCTCCCTCCTTCCTCCTTTCTTTTTTCTTGCCCTCCTTCCTTTCCCTCTCTCCTTTGTCCTTCCTTCCTTCCTTCCTTCCTTCCTTCCTTCCTTCCTTCCTTCCTTCCTCCCCTCTTTCTCTTCTTTCCAAAGGCCTGATTCACTTGCTTAGCAGGGCATTCAGAGATTTTGCCCAACAGCTTCTGAAGTTGAGTAGAAGGAGATGGAGCGGAAGCTGTCAATGGCCCATCCTCTTCCTGGTCCCAGGGAGGTCAGGATCTGCAAGCTCCCCCATGCTGGAGATTGCGGCCCTTGTGGGCGATTAGAGGAAGCAACAGCTTCTGCAATGATTGGAGCCTGGTAACCCTAGCTCAGGGATGGAGATAAGCCACTCTGAAGCTCCAATGGGAAGATAGCTCACCCGTGGGCCTCCGGGGTCCTTCTAGCCCTTTCCAGTTCTCAATCCTCTCCCTCTTCAGTGGCTCACCAACGTTGCCTTTTTGCAGGGAAACCCGTGGAGCAGCTCAACGAAACCATCAATTACAATGAAGAGTTCTCCTGGCGGTTCGGCTCCGACTACGACAAAGAGTTCGAAGAGGGGCTGCAACGGGGGTTGCCCAGCCCCATCCTGTACGTGGCAGAGAAGTTCACCGACCACAGCCCCTGCGGCATGAACAACCTCTACCGCATAGCGGGTCACTACGCTTCTGCGACCCTCTGGTAAGGGGGATTGGGTCTCTCAAAGGTGGATTCATCCAAGCAGATGGGCTCAGGGCAGTGGTGGGTTTCAAAANCCCCGATGACAATGGGTTATCATTCTTACATGCTTCATCCACTGCAGGTTGTTGTGCCCACAGTCAGAAAGCAAAGGCAGAGGTGATTCATTCTGATTTTTGGTGAGCAGTTCCACCTTCTAGACCTGAGCAAGTTACTCTTCTTCCCGGCAAAGGAATTAACAATAAAAATTGAGTCCAGCAGTGACTCGGCGCAGGTTAAGTCAGTCTTGAGTCAGCCGTCAAATGAAACCACAGGAGTAAGTTAAATGGATTCAGAGTTGAGGCTGACAACAACAGCTGCTGAAAAATGGGTCCAGATGTGCCAAGACTACATTAGCCATCATCCCCAGCTCGGAAACGTACAGTAAGTTATCTGGGCTGGAAAAGCTGAAGAAGAGTCTTGATTCGGGAGTAAAATCTTTCCCAACCTAAAATGGATAGCAGTGCCAAAACTAAATTTTTTTGCAGCTGACTCTACATTGTTTTTGGTCATAAACTCCCGGCCAGTCCCGATTGAAGGCAAACCGGTTTAATTCAATGGTTCCAATCCACTTTAAACAAGCGCCGGGCACCCATTCCGGCTTTATGCCCCTAATCCTCCGCCTGTTGGCACCCTCCAAAATCCAGATCTGCGGAGATCCCACAGAAACTAGGTGGTCCAAACTCTGGTGGGTATCAGAGACGGGACTTTCGGCCTTTAGGGCAGAGCAAGCGCGAGGGGACACGGGTGGATGCATCCGCACGTGCGTTCGCTGCCTCTGCTGGGGAATCCTGGCTCCGCAGGAGGCCTCGGGGCAATCGGAGGATGAAATGGGACGGCGAGGATGCCGAAGCAGACTCTTGGCTCCCCGGCCGTCCGCGGTTCAGCCCGGAATTCAACCCCGAGACGGGAAGAGTTGGGGTTCCCCCACCCACGCCAAAGAAACTGCGAGATTGTAGCCCGCTGCCAAATTCCAAGAGGCTGAATTTGGTTTGAGAAAGCGGGGCAGACAGGACCGCGTGGGATCCCGGCCGGGAGGAGGGAGAGACCCCCCGACCCGCGTCTCTTCAACCGAAGGTGCCTCCCGGGGAAAGAGGCGGAGAGGAGTCGGTCGGCGGAAAACCCCGGCGCGGCGCGTGTTGGCACGCGTGGCGGTGGGCAGCGTGGAAACGCGGGGTCTGCCTCTGGCAGGAAAGCCTCGCGGGACCCCCAGCAGGACTTCCCCCCCCCGCCCCGCCGTCCTCCCGGCTTGTCTTCTCGAGATCTGCCCCGGGAAAGCCGCCTGCTCACCTGGTCAGGTGCGATCCCGGAGCTGCCGCCGCTGCTGCTGCTGCCGCCGCTGTCACAGCCGTCCTAGACTGCCAGCCGCCCCGTGGCCGCTGTCCGAGGAGCCAGCTGTGGGGGGGCGTGGCCGGAAATCCCCTCATTTGCATGCCACCTGCGCGCGACCCCCCCTCCCATCCTGCTCCGGCTGTATAAGGGCCGAGCACTTCTCTGGGCGCCTGTATTGCGCTCCGAGCTCCATAGAAGGCACAGGCGAACCCTTGCGAGGTAAGGCTGCCCGGTGGCTCTTGCCGGCAAGCCGGGAGGGGCTGGAGTCAGGCTGGAGACCCAAAGCCTTTCCTCCCCTCCGGCCACCTGGTCCCTTAGAGAGGAAGAGGGAGAAAGAGAAAAAGATGGAAAGAGAGAGAAAGAGAGAGAGAGAAAGATGGGAAGAGAGAGAAGGAAAGAGAGAGAGAAAAGATGGAAAGAGAGAGAAAGAGAGAGAGAAAGATGGAAAGAGAGAGGATGAGATAGAAAGAGGGAAAGAAGGAAAGAGTGAGAAAAAGAGGGAAAGAAAAAGAGGGAAAGCGAGAGAGAGAAAGAAAAAGATGAGAAGAAAGAGAATGAGGTAGAGGGAATGAGGGAAGGAGAGAGAAAACGATGGAAAGAAAGAAAGAGGGAAAGAAAGAAAGAGAGAGAGAGAGAAAGATGAGAAGAAAGAGAATGAGATAGAGGGAAAGAGGGAAGGAGAGAGAAAAGATGGAAAGAGAAAGAAAGAGGGAAAGAAAGAGAGAGAAAGAAAAAGATGAGAAGAAAGAGAATGAGATAGAACGAAGGAAAGAGGGAAAGAGAGTCGCACGCCCTTGTGCATGTGAAGAGCGCTTCTATCCTCTGCCAGCCATCATCTCCGCAGCCTCCAGTCCCGGCCGGATCTCTTCTTTCCCAAAGCCCCCGGCTGGGCTGAGACTGCTGCGGATGGACGGCCGGTCCCACCCGACGGCCGGGGAGCGCTCCCGACGGTCCCCACGGAGGCGGCCGGCAGACGGGGGCATTCAGCAATCGAATCGGTCCCTTGTAGCCCCTTCCCGCTCCGGATTTCCTTCCCCCTCGGCTCCCCTCGCTTCGGAAAGGAAAAAAAAAGCCAGCTTGCAGGGGAAAGGGCTTCTTTGGCTGTAGCAGCGCCTGCGGAACGCCTGGAGACCAGGCGGAGGAGAGTTGGGGGCAGATTGGAAACCTGGACCCTACCTGGGGTTTGGGGGACTTCAGCTAACCTCCCCAAAACTTCTTCGAAGTTCAGAACCTCCTCATCCTTTGCCAGGACCCACCGCCAGCTTCTGCCCAAGTTTCGCTGACCTTCCTCCCCATCCAGACGACCCCAGCTGACCCTCTTCTCGTCTCTTTCCCCAGATCCGCAGCAACCATGACCTTCTTTGACGGCATCTACCCCTTCTACCCCCAATCCAAGAAGCCCTTTGTCTTTGATGTGGACCTTATCATTGTCATCATCGTCTTTCTGGTCCTCGCCTTCAGCTTCTTGCTTATCCTGCCAGGAATTCGAGGCAGAGCGGTGAGTTAGCCATTCCCAGGCGGGTTTCGAACCTGCGCGGGGGGGGGGGGGGGGACGACGAAGCGTCCGGGAGACCCCTTTCCCCAACCGCGTTTTTAGCCCCGCCGGAGGGAAGAGCTGGCACGCTCAACTCTTGAACGTTCGCCTGGATTCAGCAGGGGGGCAAGTTTAGTTAGTATATAAATCGTGCAAATTCGGGTTTGTTGGCTTAGGATTCCGTGTATTGAGTGATTAAACGGACCATTGTAAATGTGTGTGTGTGTGCGTGTGTGTGTGTGATTGCACCCCATTGCAAATGTGGGGGGTTGCAAATGTCGGGGTGTGTGTGTTGCAGAGAGGAATTTTGAGGGGGGGCAGACAGCTTCTACATTCGATAAATAAATTAAATAAAACAAAAGGCTAACTCTGGGAAACTTGACTGGCCACGAGGAATTTGCTTTCCTTAGAATAATCTGTAACATAATTTAAAAGGTGTGTGTGTGTGTGCGNATCTATCTATCTATCTATCTATCTATCTATCTATCTATCTATCTATCTATCTATCTATCTATCTATCTATCTATCTATCTATCTATCTATTCCCACCATGAATCACTCCCTCCTCCAGATCATCAAGCTCCACCTTAGCTCCGTGGCATGACTTCATGCGCCTCTTGAAGTAAATGCCGTTTTGCAAGCCAGAGTTGCTTGGTGGGTTGCATTTACCAAAAGGAGCAAAGAATCTGGAGTCTCAGCTAACAGAGGAATAAGGAGGGCTGGTTCTTAGTCACCTCTTCTTTTAGTTTCTGTAGCAAACCACAAATCCTGTTTCTTTGACCTCACACCAAAGACCTGGAAAAGCTAACAAGTACAGCTTGGCCACCTTTTGAATTCTTCAGCATCTCACTGAAGTGATGCTGGAGTGTTGATGCTTATTAGCGGATGTACCTGGACAGTGTCTACCTTGGTTTCCAATGTGTAAAGATGGGCCTTTGCGGACAATGTCTCTCTCCCCTTCCCCTCCCCTTGACAGCAACCGTTGCACAGGGAATCAGTAGGCGTTTTCTGTATTTTCCACCCAGAACGCCCCTCCCCACTTTTTTATTTTTACATCTGATTGAAAAAAGGACTCCAGGAACACGTCTACCTTCCTTCCCCAGTTCACGTCTTCCTGTGTTCTTTGCTATTAAACATATTTCGAAAGCAACTTCATTAATGCTGGCATTTCCTGCAATGGCAAACGAGAATAAAAAGGTTAAGATTCCCCTCATGCATATGTGCTAGTCGTTCCTGACTCTAGGGGGCGGTGCTCATGTCCGTTTCAAAGCTGAAGAGCCAGTGCTCTCTGAAGACGTCTCCAAGGTCATGTGGCCGGAATGACTAAATGCCGAAGGCGCACAGAACGCTGTTACCTTCCCACCAAAGGGGGCCCCTATTTTTCTACTTGCATTTTTTATGTGCATTTGAACTGCTAGGTTGGCAGAAGCTGGGACAAGTCACGGGAGCTCACTCCGTTATGTGGCGCTAGGGATTTGAACTGCGAACCTTTCTGAGAGAAAACAAGGAGGGAAGAAGAAGGAGAGAAAAAGGGAAAGGAAAGGAGAGAAAAGGGGAGGAGAGAGAAAGGGAGAGAAGGTGAGAGAGTAAGGAATAAGGGAAGGAGATAGGAAGGAATGGAAGAAGGGAGGAAGGAGAGAGAAAGAAAGGAGGGAAGGAGGGAGGAAGGAAGGAGAGAGAAAGGAAGGGAGGGAGGGAGGAAAGAGAGAGAAAGGAAGGAGGAAAGAAGAAAGGAGAGAAAAGTCCTCCAGGAATCTCACCTGCTCTTGGGGAGCCTGCTCGCCTTGGTTCTCCTCCAGAAGCTTCTGCTGCAAAAGGATTTCGAGAAGTTGTCTGGTCAGTAGGTCCTTCATGCTATCTATGATGCCTGTGACTGCTGGACTGAAGGCTCCGGGGCTCTGGTTGAGCTCTGCTCTTTCCAAGAATGATGAGCGGAGAGGGATGGAGCTCAGGGGGCTCTTCTTCCCCATGAAATGCCCTGGAATGNCTGGGGAAGGGTACTGCCAAATCTCCATTCCCTCCCCACTCCAGGGAAAGGATACTGTAAAATCTCCATTCCCTCCCCACTCCAGGGGAAGGATACTGCCAAATCTCCATT